TCCCCCTGGTAGTGAGATCGGTCACCCGTGTTCATTGTTGTGCACGTAAAAAAAATTACTTGGCAGTTGAAAATCGAAAAGAGTAGTCAGGGCAAAATTTGGAAATCAAAATCTACCCAAAGTATTTCAGGATCCTCGCCGGTGCTACAGAGATTGTGCACTGTGCTTAGCTTCTTCGGACTCAGACTTGAATTAGAAGAAGAACGGAGCACTAATGGTTTGCTACCCGTGTGCCATGATGTTGATCCGTTGTTCAAACCTCAAACCTCAGATGTTAGTATACAGCTGAGGCCACCTTCTAAAATTTGCTGCAGTATTTCAGAGAAGTGGCTTGCTTGCGGATCGGAAGGTCGTGGGTTCGCTCCCTGGCGGAGCCGGACTATTTTTGTGCAAAAATGACCTTGGCTCCCAGATCGACCCAGCCTTGAGTGGGTACCGGCTGCAGTCCCGGGAAGTAAAGGCGGTCGGGGTGATGCTGAGCACATCACCCATCTTGTGCCGATTGGTATATAAAATATAATGTCTAGCCATATATGCCCTATACGCCTAAAGGCGTGGTAAATGGTCCTTTAAATATTTTTTTTGAACTTTTTATTTCAGAAAAGTATCGTATCCTGGATATCAGTTATGAGTAAGATTATCTTCACAGGAATTCGAACACGTCCATATATGCTTAGGTTCCCCCTTCAACACATACAGCAGCGCTCTGTAAATATTAATGCCCTCTGATGCTGACTCGCAAGACTTTTCGTACTTTCTGTGTGTCTCTTGTATTCGGCTGTGCCGAACTATACTCCCAATAATCACAATCTTAGCAAAATCCTCTGACTGTCCTCTCTTTGGTCATTAACAGTGTAGGGGCGATCAATATGACGGCCATCTACAACTAGGGCAGAGCCGACCAATCTTTCAGCTCTTTCATTCCCAACAATACCCACACTTCCCAGGACAAAGATGAAAGTATTTCCACGCGCAGTGGAATATTGCGATGACATAGTCCAGTTTCTGCGCACAGAGCCTGCTGCGATCCTCCGGATAATGCTAATTGAATCACTCAGCACACACAGGTGTTAATAGCCCTGTGATTGCAGCTACATAAAAGGTAGTGTCACAACCTTCGTCATACTGCTAGTAGTCATAGAGCAGGTAACACAGGAGAAAACTAGTTTCAATCTAATAAGACGAATTCCTGTTGCCCCGTTCATTTCCCATGAAGTGATAAAAAGATTATCTGTAACGACCTACCAAGTACAGTGCAAACCTGATAAGGAGAACTCATCAGTGACCCAAGAAATGGTTCTTCTTATAAGAAAACCTCTTATCCGGATAAGATATCAAGCAAGAACAATAAGTCGTTCTTCACAACGGAAGTTCGGCACACGCAAGATCTCATTAAGTGGTTTGCACTATACTACACTGATATACCCTGATGTTCTGGAAAGACGGAGAATAAGGATTAATCAATGCCATGCAATCAATGATCATTTAATGTAGATATGGTATTTATAATAACGAAAATCTGTGGATATCACTTACTCAGTGACATACTATTGCTGGTTGTCTTTGAATTGTTGCCTCTTCTAAAACATCTAGATCACGTTGTGGAGTTGTTGCCTCTTCCAAAACATCTAGATCATATTGTCGAGTTGTTGCCTCTTCCAAAACATCTAGATCATATTGTCGAGTTGTTGCCTCTTCCAAAACATCTAGATTGTGTCTTCGAGTTGTTGCCTCTTCCAAAACATCTAGATTATATCTTCGGGCTTTTGCATCTTCCAAAACATCTATATTACTCACTGGGGCTGTTGGAGAAATGCTAAGCATTGTTCTGTATAACGGCGTCTCAATGCTATTTCCCCACACTGATGATGTAAATAAATGTCGATTTTTAAACAAAAATTTGTTTTGAATAAATGCTAATGTTTGCACTAGAATAAGTGTATATTTGTGTTCTTGAATAAATGTAAAAATTTTACTTGAATTAAACACACTTTGCGCATGTAAAAAAGAAAAAGACATCACCGCAAAAAATCCTTAAGGCATCCTTTGGACCAAAAATTAATATAAGACGTTATTGTGTCGTTTTTATTTTTTCTGATAGTCTTTTAGAGCAAACACTAATAAAAGATCGGAATTATTTTTTTTGGGGGGGGGGGGGGGGGGGGGGGGGTAGGGGTGTGTGGGGTGGGGTGGGAGGGGGACAATGGTAGCATCTGTTCAGTGCCCGAAATCATCAATCCTCTGGCCAGTCTCTCTAGCGTAGTTGGCTAAACCGGATTGCGCTGTGACCGGGTGACGAACTCCTTGTGGTCCGGGTTCACTCCCGGGGGTAGGCAGAAAGGCCACATTTCTCCCAGATTTACGGTATTTACAATGGAATCAAGGCCGAAAGGTTGCGATATCCATAATACCGAGCCTAAGGACTAACAACTCATGGCTTCTGGATACTAAAACAAACAAACAATCAATTCTCTGCATTTGTATAGCCGTCATGCAGATGATAGTCCAGCTGTTGACCAAAATGCACGATGACACAAGAAACACCATGCAATATTTTCAGTTTTTATCCTACGGAACTATCCCCTGAAGGTTAGACACTTAGTGACTGCACTCTACGGCTACAGTAGCCAAACCTGTTGTCCTGTTTGGGTGCAGGATCTAACAGTCGGGAAAATCGGTTGAGCTTAAATAACAAGGGGAAAACGCGGAAATGCAAATCTAACACCCCCCCCCCCCCAACCCCCTCCAAAAGAACAATTGAGGCACGCTGGATTTTTAACCCAGCATCTTATAACAAATGTGTTGGCGCAATGGCTAGTACACTTATCTGCAGGCCCAACTCTCATGTATTTTACATTGTTAACACATACTTTAGTATTGATCTGTGCTAGAGAGCTGCAGCCTAAAAATGGGTACTCAGATATTTTCTGGGAAGTAAAGGTGGCAGTCGTGAGATTAAACACATCACTTACTGGGTCGGGATTACCCTCCCCCCTTCCCTGCCCCATTGACCGGATGGCAGTCGTGCTATTGACCATATCGTTTACTGTGTCGCGGGTTCCTCCCCCACCCCACCCCCACCCCACCCCCCAACTCCTCATTGCCCCTAGACACCAGGCTAAAACAGAAAATATTTATTATAAAGTTTCCTTCTATAGTAAAAGGAGATCAAGTCAGCTGAAAAAATCCAAAAGCTAATGTGGACTTGAAGACATAAGCACATTGCAGTCTGAAGTGGTTCTAGTTGAGGTATTAACATGGCTTCCGACAGCTTTTGGGCGACATACATTGTTTCAGAGTTAACTGAAGCGAACATTTGAGCAAACAATTTCATCGACTTTCATTTTCCACAGACGGTTACTAAAGACACTGGAAAGTTGTTGCTTTAGTAAAGAAAACAATTTCCGATCACGTTCAACAATGATGAGAACAGCTTAGATTATAATTGTGATCTGCTGATAGGTGAGCGATGTTAACATGGTCTGTTGTGCTAAGAACTGTGGCTTATTGTCCCTAGCCGTGTGTAACGTTGTCGCTTTGATCATGTCTGACTTTTGAAGAACGAAAATACTAATTCAATCTCGTTTAAGCATTTCAGCTTTTAGGAGCTTTGCATACTATTGTAATCTTAAGTGTGCAGTACTTGTTATAATTTTGTTTCTTGTGGTTCCATTAAATTTTGTTGTCGGAGACGTTTATCTGATGGTGGTAACGACACCCTTCTCTCAAGTACTTGTCGGTTAATCTCCGTCCTCGTGTGGGACGCAATTTTCGTTATTTTGAAGCCCCACATTGGTGTTACCGGAGCCCTAATATAACCCGATAGATGGGCTGAACGGGGTTTCTCGGACCTGTCCCGGTTAATCCTCATTAGCATGGTCCAGAAAGTCTGAATCCGGAAAAGCCCAGCACAGTGCACATGCTCTGTATCACCGCCAAGGATCCTGAAATACTTTAGGTAGATTTTGAACTCCAAATTTTGCCCGGGCAGCTCTTACTGATGGAACCCGGAACCTCTAGCACTTGAGGCAATCACTATGCCTCGAGACCACGCAGCACTTTGGTCAGTCCTATTAAAGTTTCATACTGGCCTCAGAACGTCCTTGGCAAGTACTAAGCCCGTACCCAGTATCGTTTTATAGTGAACTGATCTGAGTCTTTTAAATTTAGAATGTTGTTAACACCGAAATTGATATCAATGAAATCTATTATTGAAACATAAGTTCTAAAATAAATCTCTTTATTTTTTGTATCTTCAGGACCTTGCGTTAGAAAAAAAGACACAGAAGATCCTGACATTTTCCCCAACACGTTGATGAGGTTACAGGAGGAGAGAAGAAGAAGGGTAATTCTACTGGAGAGGTGGGGGGGTCGTGTTGACTCTACGATTTGTAGTTTTCTTCCTATTTCTTTCAATCAGCTAAGTGAACATGTGCCCGTATACTGTCTGAAGCTGTGGATTTAAAATATTAGTCAGTTGTTCTCAAATCGTTCCAGTCTTAATTGTGTAAAGACGGCGTTAGAGGGTACGGTTTGTGGAAGGCGAGGCAGGGGTCGACCTCCGCGAAGATGGAATCAGGAAATTGAAGATGCATTGGAAATGAAAGCGCATGGGGTAGGAAATCTTGCACGGGAAGGGATACTTTCAGGCGTGCCGTGAAGAGAGCGATGTTCTGTAAAGGACTTGCTGACTAAAGATGAATCAGTTAATCTGTTTGCCTTACGGTGTTGTAATAAGCTCTTTACTGTTTACACTTAAACAATAATGTGAGCTACTGTCATTACTGCCCGTGGCTGCCATTTTTCTGGTGGGGGGGGGGGAGGGGGGATGTAGAAAGAGGTGTCTCAAGACTGAGGATTTAGGGCAACATGGTTAGAGCAGTCACTATTAGCTCAGCAGACTAGGATGTTTACTTTTGCCACCATTCGAAGATTCGAACTTGGATATTAAGCATGACTTACAACGATTTACTAATTAAACGAAAAAGCTAACTATTAATTCACGTAGGCCCTCTGCCATTCTGTAGTTCAAAGTTGTCCAGTTTTATTAGGGAGATATCCGACACAGGGTGAAACATCTCTTCCTCTGATGCACAAACATCACTCATATCCGACTGTACCACAAGTCCTTGGGTAGCTTCTTCAGTGACATCTGAATGAGTTTCTTCTTCTGCACTAATTCCCGCCACAGACAAGGAGCCCACGTTCGATTTAGTAATCACAGAATTCCTATTAACACTGCTCTGTTCAGTGCTGTCCTTAAGCAAATATGTGGCTGTGGTGGTGGTGTTGTCTCTTTTGATGCTGTTGTAGCAACACGATGACAAGTTTTTGGGGTTTGTCCTTCCCATGGCTATTACATCAATTATTCCAGAATGTCGTGGTTTGTGAAATACCTTGTAACACCAGTAAAACCTGGACTTAACCTCCTGCCGAAACTGTTCATTTAACCAACAATATACAAAGGGGTTGTAACATGTACTGCTCATTGCTATCCAGTGACAGATGAAGAATGCCAGAGAATCGTGGCGAAACGTCTCCATATCAGGATGTAGGTCTGTTAATATGTGATACATGTTTAGCGGAAGCCAGCAAACAGCAAACATAATGACAACGGTGATCAGTAATCTGATGCTTCTTCGTTTTGCTCTAGCTTGAATGAGTTGCTGATTTGCAGTCACGGCCCCGACATGCGTGCGTGCCCAGAGACTCAGCACAATACGCGCATAAGCAATGCCGATCAGCGTGAAAGGGATGCAGTACTGAAGAATAAAGGTGCTCATTGTTAAGAATCTTTCCAAATCCTTCCAGTCTTTAGGTATTAGGAATCGACATCTGCGATATTCTGTGGTGATCAAAAAAGTGACCCTTCTAACACGAGTAAATATTCCATATGGCAAAGATAAGCATATTGCCACCAGCCAGATACATGCTAATATGCTCATGGCTAAGCGGGTGGACATTCTTCGTGAGAGAGGTTTCAGAACAACTCTGTGGCGATCTAAAGCTATAGAGGTCAACGTGTAGGTGGACACATAGCATGTGAGGACAAGAGAATAATGAACAATGTGACATGGAATCTGGCCAAAGGGCCAGTCATCCAAGAAATTTTTAGCAAGGTTAAAAGGCACGTTTATGAAAGTCACTAGAAGATCGCTCAACGCAAGGTTCGCCAAGAAATAATTGGTTGGAGTGTGTAGTCGTTTGTTCTTTAAGATCACGTAACAAACCAGAGCGTTCCCGAAAGTAGAAATTATACACAGGATGCTATAGGCGATGATTAGGAGAACCTTAGCTTCCATGGGTAACACGTTGTCTCTTTGTGAATCGATAAGGCTGAGGGTTCGATTGCCGTCAGTATTTAGCATTATCAGGCGCCTGATCATTGTATCATTGTATAACGACTCTGATATATCTGGGGAAAGAGAAAAAAAAAATGATTTGATAAGAATGTAGATGAACTTATTTTATAAATGAAAACAAAATATTAACAGCAATGTATTTCACTGAAAAGGGTATTCGCACAGGCACTAAGGTTGGTAGACCTCTTCTGAATGTGATATTTTCGGAGATAACTGGCGTTTGTTGGAGAGTCGCCATGGTCTAGCGGCTAGACGCTCGCCTGCGGATCGAAAAGTCGTGGGTTAGCTCCATGGGAAAGCCAGACTTTTTTTTTTCAAAACTGACCTTGGCTCCCAGCTCGACCCAGCCTTAAGTGGGTACCGGGTGCAATCCTGGAAAGTAAAGGCAGCCGACTTGATGCTGACTACATCATCAATCTTGTGCAGTTGGTCTATAAAATATAGGTCTAGCCCTATATACACAATACGACTGAAAGCCTGGAAAGGGTTCCCTTACTTTACGGTCGATTGTCACTAGAGCTGCCAAGTTTGGGTGTCAGTCTCAGCAACTACCAGCCACTCTGCAGAGGAGATCTAACAAGACCGAATACATTCCGGTGCACAAAAGTCTATTTTAATGAGTGGGCTAACCTAAAGGATGAAACCCATTATCACTGTCTTCAAGTTCACTCCGTGTGGCGTTGAGAGTCATGTCTATCCCAAACCTTCTGTCCCGTGTACTTTCAATCAGTTCTGAAACAGATGATCGTTAATGCCATAATGTCAAACTATTCTATGCATCTGCCTCTGCCTCTGCTTTTCCTCCCCTCCAATTTTCCCACTGTCACGATGTGCTCCAGTTTTCTCTTTCTCGTCACATTTTCCCTTAAGGTATTATGTTTGTATACAGCTTGTTTATTGATGCTGTTAACAAGTGAATAAAGATAAAAAGTGTCCACTTTTTGTAAACAATTAAATAGACCAGCAAAAAGAATAATGCCGACGTCTGAAGCTTAGGCGTTGCAAAAGCACTTCTTAATTCTGAGGTGCCGCGTTCGATCCCAGCTGCCGTAAGTTTAGCTAAGACCACCCCAGTTGATCTTAATCCACAGTGGTATTGGGAGCTAACCGCTCTCTGCATTAGGCAGATTATTGTTCTCGCGTCCATGGTTGAAAGCTCAAGGAAGTAACGCAGCGCCATGCTTGCCATAATCTTTGTGCATGATACGCATGTCGGCTTTGTGGCTAAGTCGATGCGAACGCTTCGTAATGCCGGGATGCCGGGTTCGATCCCAGCAGCGGGCCACGCGCCTTGCGTTGGTTTCGACAGTGGTATCAGGAAAGCCGACTGTCCAGAAGCAATGGCAAACTACTGGACGTAAATTTGCCTAGAGAAACCACACAACAGCCAGGGGCTGTTAGGGTTGGTTCTGCAACGCCCTGTAAAGGATACGCAACTAACCTTTAATGATACGCATGACAATATTTTGTAATGAATCTAGTCCGTCTGTGAACGGCTAAGTGTACCAGGCACATTATATAAATCTAGTGGTGCCGGTGCACAAATGAACAAATGACAACAGCATCACTATGATATTTAACGACTGTGAGACTATGGACTAGTTGAGAATGCAACATAATAGTGTAATTTTCTCAGTCTTACCTAGAAATTCGATCATTTTGTCTGTTTGTTGATGTTCCTCTTTCTCTGTAACGTCAGTCATTGCTCATCTCGTCCTGTAGACAACGTGTACACAAATAAATTACTTAAATACTACAAAATAGCGCATTATTTGATACTGTTCGGAGTAAAAAGATACATAACAAGCACCAGATGATACTGTTCGGGATGTCAAGAGTCCTCATACAGGCAGTATGACATTTTCCGGAATATCAAGATAAGTAATACAGGACAATATGACAATGTTCAGATTATCAAGATACATAATTAAGACAAGATGATATTGTACGGAATATCAAGATACATACTAAGGCCAAGATGATATTTTCGGGTTATCCAGAGACGCCATATAGGATATGATGACATTGTCCAGAATATCAAGATACGTAATACAAGGCAAGATGACAATGTCCGGGATATCAAGAGACGACATACAATACAGGATGACATTGTCCGGAATATCAAGATACATAATACAGGATAAGATGACAATGTCTAGGATATCAAGAGACGACATACAGGACAGGATGACATTGTCCGGAATATCAAGATACATAATACAGGATAAGATGACAATGTCCGGGATATCAAGAGACGACATACAGGACAGGATGACATTGTCCGGAATATCAAGATACATAATACAGGATAAGATGACAATGTAAGGGATATCAAGAGACGACATACAGGACAGGATGACATTGTCCAGAAAATCAAGATACATAATACAGGATAAGATGACAATGTCCGGGATATCAAGAGACGTCATAAGGACAGGATGACATTGTTTGGAATATCAAGATACATAATACAGGACAAGTCGACATTCAGTTGTGTTTTATTTCTTGTCGTTGTTGTGATGACGAAGGCCTATCGTCCTAATGTCATTTGTTTGCCCTTAGTAATTGGTCCTGTAAAGCCGACATATATTTTAAACTTCCCTCGCTGTAATGCAGTCACCCTATGTAGATGAAGTTGTGTTTACAATTGTTCTAAGTTGACTATAGGAGCTGATGTGGTGTAGCCTGCTTATCCGAAAGTCATGGGCTGAGGTCCTGACGAATCCGGACTCCCCCCCCCCCCCTCTCTTTTCTCCTAAAGAAATGACCCTGGCTGCCAGGTCGACCCAGCCTTAAATTGATACCCCTCAAAGTCCTGGGAAATAAAGGCGGTCGATGTGATGCTGACCACATAACCCATCGAGTGCCTATTGGTTTATACATAATTAATCTTTTTTTTTTCAAATGTCGATAAACCATGCGGTTTTAACCCTTTGGCGCAGTACTATGGTTATCGCAACCGTTCGGCCATGATTCCACGATAGATGCTGTAAATCTGGGAGAAAATGTGTCTTTTCTGCTCACCTTCGGGCGTGAACCCGGACGACAAGGAGTTCGTCACCCAGTCATCACGCTGTCAGGTTAAGCCAACAGAGCTAGCAAAATAATAGGTGTAGATTTATATGCCCAATACGCCTGAAGGTCCTGTAACCTGAAAATTAAATTTTTCCTACGAAGATTAATGTTAATACGTACTCAGTACTATTTTATATTGACACTTTTTCTCTAACAGCCCTTAATCACTTTAACTCTTTTTATCTCAAAAATTTCTAGTGTAAAATTACCAACGCTTTGAGAGAAAACACTGGACAGATGGCGTAAAATTAACATTTCCGAATGAGTTAATGTAACAACGATCTGCTATTTAAGAAGAGTCCGAAATCTGCATTGTTCATGGGCTAACAAATAAAAGAATACCGGGTTGCATAGAACGAAAATAGTTAAGGATCAATGTCATTCTGGTTGAAGAAACGTTTTCAGTGACTTCCCTTCGCAGTATTGAATCGTCGCGTCGCAGGGCTTCTCCTGTGTTGCGGGGGTGAAATTATATGGCTTGGTTCGGCGCTCGCTCGGCGTATATAATGTTTGTAGGAAGCTGTGTTGTCGTATCTTTGAGGCGCGCCTCGCAGGCGCAACGATTCGTTATGATCGAAACGGATGTTGTCTATTTCTACGTTTGTTGGCGGTGGCTTCCCCACGAAACAGAGAAGGCACTGACAGGGAACGTAGGAATAGAAAAACATCGCAGTTTCAAAACTTCTGAACTGTCGCGCAGGTAGCAAAAGTGAAATTTATCACGCAAGTGAGCGGTAAGAACATGAGAAAGGAGAGAGGGTTAAAGCGTTGACAATAGGGAATACATGACACCTCCGCAACATAGGACAGGTCCTGCGTCGCAACAAGGCATGAATGGAAAGGGAAGTCACTCTCTTACTGCAGCGGAAAACGTTACTTCAACCTCATTCGATACTCTGTGTATTATGCTATGTCAAAGTAATAGTAGTTCTCTAACTAGTACATATGGAAAAAAATATTGTGTCCAACATCCTGCATGAAAGCAATAATGCAGTCTAACAGAAAAAGAACTTTCACGAAAAGCACTGTTAGGGTTCGTGACAACAGGTTGCCATTGTTAACCGTCTGTTCTAGACCTCTCCCTGCTGTACGTAACTGTAGTCCCGATACAGGACCCACATTGTCTTTATTTTAAAGCCCCACCGCGGCTGTAGTTAGGGCCTCTAATACAACCTCTCCCGGGTGATCCTCATCCGGATGGTGGCACTTTGTGTCACGAGGTGTTTATCGCTTTCTGAATGTCCTGTTAGGATTAAATCTTATCACACCTTTCCATCGAGTAACATTGATATGTTATATGTACGGACGCAGGCTGTCAAAGGCGAGCAGCAGCTGCGAATCCGAATTTTTACTGCGGAAGTATCTGATTGAAAGAGTGAGTGGTGGCTAATGAGGAATCTAGGTGGCGATAATTCTGTTGCAGAATTATCTCCCGTATGTTAGTAACCCATCTGGTTTCGATAAGTGGGTCACACGCCCAATCAGTTTTCAATTATGCTTTGCTAGACTAACGAGTAGTGTTATATTTATTGTTGGTAATATTGTTTCTATAGTAATGGTGTATCTATGTTTCTGTCAATGTTACAAACACAATATTTGTGAAAAGTTTGTTTGAGCAGACGAAGATTGCCTTTAATGAATCTTGAACACTCTCTGTCTCTTGTCTTGACTGTATACTCTTCAATTACTTTTTTTTTTTTTTTATCTCTTGATGCTGTCTTCCCATTTGTATCATTGTATATCTGTGGCTTTCTTGACTTCGACTGTTACGATGTAAATCAATACTGAGTCAACTGTTGACATTTTTTAAGATTTAACAAAGTTTGTATGTTGTCGAATTGTTTTTATAATAAATGGTACAGTACTGAACATACAGTTTCACAACATATAAAAGATGTCCCTTTTTTCAAAGTTATAATGATAAAGGATTTAAAACAAATAGACAGACA